TTGGTATTAATTAACATTATGATAATAATTTATAATTACACATACACATTGTTACATAAAAACGAACAAATGTTCTTCAATATTGTTGGAAATGAAGTTACTCCGAACAGTCAAGTCCGGTTCCGATCGGATCTACGATAATTACCTCGATCTGTTATTAAGAGTGGCCAATTATTCCGCGCCGACCGCGGCTTGTTATCTTTCAATGTTCGCGGAGAAACTGTTATTTTCCAATGCAGTGAAATATAATCAGTCGGTCTTATTATCGATAATTATAGGTAATTTCGGATCGTGGGTCGGTGTACGATTGAAATTAAGAACCCTGAGACCGTGGAGCACATCCAATTAAAGAACGATCGTAGAGTCCGTATCCGAGAGTGGAGAATCCGCGCGCGACTGATAACCCTCCGTCCCGGGCATCGCTCGATCTTTCGACTCCCGGTGTTATCGTCCCGTTTGGAATTTCAGCAACGACTCGAACAACTGTTATCAGTAATTGTAAACATATAACAATTATCGATTTACGAGCCGACGGTAATTAACACGATTTTTATGCGTCGCCGCTGGTCATTCCCGTTGTGTTATTCCGACTATTAACGAGCAATTCATAAAGCGTTATCGGTTCGTAGGGAGATGCCCGCGTTATCTCGTAATGCGCAACATTTATTCGTAATTGAAACAAAAGCTCGTCCTCGGTATTCTCCGAATGAATGTTTACTGTGAATATGTAAGTCGCATTATACCTATATGTTGAAGAAATTGATCTTGTATTGTCATTTTATTCTGCTCTAATTCAACACTATCCACGGATTCGGTGGGTTATGTGAATCTATCTCTCTCTTCCCAACTGATTCTTTGTATGTGAGATATTCGACGCGTGATATAGTGCTTGTGAGAACTGATTAAGAGAAGTAATCGAGGCAACACAGGGGAATTCTTGAGTATAGAAGCTTATGTTTATCTTCGATGTTTTTCTACGGATTCGTAAAGATGCTGTAACGAAATTCGATTTACCAGTTGAGTAAAATGAGTAATCGAGGCAGAATAGAGGAATCCCAGAATCTAGAAGTGAAGGTGATAACTGTTACGAAATGATTCACCAGCTTTGTGTTTCTGTACGTCATACCATTTAATAATTACAATTTAAATTATATAATTATACGACCTTACACGTACGGTGCTCTAGGTTACGTAGATGTAATAAGTAGGTATTTTAGTTAGACTATTACGTATATTACATGGAATGAAGTAACATTTGAGTTTGACGCTACACGAACGTAATACTTGAGCTTAATTTAATGTGGAGAACGCATCCTTCGCACCCGACGAGTAAATAGTTATTTCACGTTTAACCCCGGTTTTCCATTTTCTCCGTCTCGATCCCACCGCAGTCCACGCGCGCGTAGATTGCGAACGATGTGCCGATCGACCACGAAAACCGAGAGAGGCGAGGAAGAGGAGTATCTCTCGTCCGCTTTCCCCCCCCCTCCCCCTTCCCACCCCTGTGCAAGACCGCGAAAAACCGAACTTTCGCGCATTCATAGGTACGGAACGTGTTGTGACGACACGCGGCGTGAACAACAAAAAAGAAAATAATAATAATAACGAAACAAATAAAATACAATATTAACACTGGACCAAGTCATTAGCAACAGGCTCACTCTCAATAGAATAATAGCGATAATATCCAATAATTTCAATAATCATCGTAATAATATTAATAATAATAATAATTAGAATCCTCACTATTCTTTTATTTAAATATCCCCTATAGGGTACCAGGCGATAACGAAGGAACGCCCAAACGTTTTTTTTTTAATCGAACAGCTACGCTTCTTTCAATTACGTCAGATATCACATAAACGAATAATTAAGTTCTCACGAAGCTCGATCTATACTGTCCCCTCCCACCCCCCTCCCCTGTCACTCTTATCTGTCACAAGAAACCGAGAAAAGAATTCGTGGAATCGGGCTCGTTCGTTAGCGCCTCGTACGATAATAACGTCATTCAATATCGTGTTGTCGTATATTCAATAGCTATGTACAATTCAACATTATAGCCTACCCTTAAAATTTCTCTTTCCGCGTTGTGCGCTTTTCACGTTACAATTTCATCACATCTCTTTCTCTCTCTTTCTCTCTCTCACTTTCACACTAATATCTCGACAATATACTTTTAGATCCCTGTATGCTTCCGAATTTGCTTCGCGTATTGCGCGCGCGCGGTTCAGAACACCTTACTAAGCACAAACCGACCGCTTTAGCTTCCGTTTTTCGTTTATCAGTTACATCGTATCACAAGTTAACCAATTAACGCGACTCGCCCGCGAAACACACTATCTAAATTCATTTACAGACCTGCCGTTTTCGTTCGATTAGATCGCCACACGGTTTTTCTGTTCGTCCTCTTTTTACCTTTTTATCGTAGCCCTTTCTGATTCTATCGTTCGCGACCTTCTGTCGTCTGCGCAGTGCCAGTGCGCAGCGAGGTGAGAGACGCATGCGTGGCCGCGAATGTCTCAAGTTCTTCAAACTTGCAAGAAGTTTCTATGGTTTTTATATGGAAAGCTTTATATTTTTGCACAAGATTTATAATCTGACTGTACTATAGAATAGAGGATTACTCGTGGAACTAGCAGACGAAAATGGATTTAATTTTTGGATAGTTAGCCGAGCGATACCCCCGATACTCTGTGAAGAACTTGTGTTAAAATACAAGAAAATAATTTTTACGCTGAACGATAGATAGTACGAAAGTTTATAATACAGACGATTGCATGTCGTTCTTTTGCAATCTCTTGAACTCTATCTGATAAAATGAAATAAATCGAGTGTTTCACCGGTACTAGCTGTTCAAGTCAGAGATGGGAAAAGCAATTACGTATAGAAAGTATAGAGTAAGGAATAATTCTTGTACAGTAATAAAAACTAATACAAGCAATCGATTAATCAAATAGGGTTTACTAACAAATCTCAACATAGTATTTTATTATGTTATCTATTATTCGAACAATACATTGCCCATCCCTGGATCATGAATAACGCCAACTGGTGACAAACATGCGTTATACAGTATTATTTACAAAAATTGTACTGTTCTATTACGAATTTAGTCCATCACACGCAATCAAAACTTAACGCACCACGCGTAATAGTCAGAGAAAACTTTCACAGGCCACGAACAAAAGAGAGAAGAGTAGGAACAGAGAGAGTACCGCTTAAAACCGGAATATATATTTTTTCTTTCGTCAGAGTGCAGCCTTACAGGTTCAGGATAAAGTGACACGTATACATTCTCGATTAATTTGGCTTAATGCGTTTCCACACGAGCTGTCTACGAGCCGGCGACGAGCCGACCGACCGACCGCCATCATCGATCGTTCTCTTATTCCCTAGAAAATACTACGCGCTTCGTCGGCTGTGAGCAGTTCGGGGGTTCACTGCGAGATTCGATCGAACGGGCACGTTTTCAAAGATTCAGCAGCCTCTATCGAAAAACGGCAGAGAATAGATCGAGTATTAATAGGCACCTTACGTACTATGAGTAGAGACTTTAACGTGCACATAGAAACGACGGCATCATCTGGGAAGACCGGGTCGTTCGTGGATTCTGGTCTTCTCGGATGAACACGCTCGAGGACATATACATATATAGTCGGTGAAGACGATACAGTGTGATCGTGGAATAGACCTCTGATGTTAGCCCATCAAGAAGAGAATATTGGTAACTTGGGTTTTACTGGAAAATTAGGTTGTGAAATATTGTGCTTTTCGCGTTCAAGTAGACATTGAATCGAAATGGTGTGAATGTTAAACTGTAACACAAAGATTGGATAGTTCGTACGAACTCGAATGATGTCCAAGACCCTTCCGTCATTTGTTCTGTTTCAATGAATGAAACGTGAGTGTACTCCGTCTCTCGATCGATTCCACGATCACACGAAGTACCTCTTCCACCGAGTATACAGTTCGAACGAGCGAAAGAGGAGGAAGAGAAAGAGGAAGTGGAAGAGGAAACAAGGAGTAAGTACATCAGCGCATCCTCTGTTAACCTTTCATCCGGGAGTGGTTCGTGTATGGGTGGGTGGAGGAGTGGGAGGTGAGGGGAAGTAATTCAGAGATGCGAAACAGTGCGCAGGCAAGGATAATTAATTAATTAGTCGTTCAATTAATTAATTACTCGGACCGCTAAATTCTACGCCTTAAACTACGGATTCGGTTTCATCTCACCCGCTGAGGTGGCCTCTCGCCGGCGTGTTCAACATCGGTATTTCATAATTCTAGCCGCGGCGAGAGCCCCCTCGGAGCGCGTCCAGTCCATTTTGAATCGGGATTCGCACGGCGTGCTTGCAGACAAATTCTCTTTGGCTTCCCTTCAACTTCGAATAGTCCTAGCGCGACGGGCTTTAATTCCCTGACACAGATCCAACCCAGACGGATCGGTACACGCTATTCTGTAAAAATTTGGACGAACATAAAATCCTCCCTTGGTCTTTTTATCGGTTAATTCCTCGTCTTGGTCAAGATCGTACAATTATCAAGAGAAAAAAAGAACGAAGGCGCCGCGAACGAAACGGGACAACAGCGCAACAAGTCAATCCAGCCGAAAGCCTCGAAGCTTCACCGGCGGCAACAAAAAAAGGTTCGAACCCCGTTTCGGACCGAGGCCCCGACGCGTTCAACCTATCCACGGGGGGACCCCGAGGCTCGACGGAAAAAAAGACGAGCACGATGAAGAAAGGAGAAGTACAAATTCCGGTTGACGAGTGACAATCCGTCGTGGGCATCGGTGGCCCTGTGTCAGACCTCGTCGGGTCTCACCACGTGTCCTACTGGAAGTGAAGTGTCCCGTCCCTGCCCGTCCCGGTCGCGGGTCACGCGGCAACGGCTGCGGGCCGGGAACGGGGTGAACAAAAAAAAGCCTTTTAGAAGTTCTGCTCGCCGTACATCCCGGGGAACCGGACAGCGTGTGCTCCGAGCTCGGCGGGCGAGAACTCGTCCTATGTGGCCAAGTGAGCGAACTGGCCTGGGTGGGGCGCGAACTGGTAAGGGTGGCCGTACGGCGACATGTGGTACGGTACAATGTTCATGCTCGCCATCTTGTGCTCCTTTTTCCACTTCATCCGCCGATTCTGGAACCAGATCTTTATCTGACGTTCCGTCAGACAGAGGGCATGCGCGATCTCGATGCGACGCCGCCTCGTGAGGTAACGGTTGAAGTGGAACTCCTTCTCTAGCTCGAGGGTCTGGTACCTGGTGTACGATGTCCTCTGCCGCTTCGTTTCGCCGTTCGCGTTCACCGTGCCTGAAACAGGAATTACTCCGTTAGAACCAGGGAATAGAGGTACAATTGTATGTATTAAGATGGATTGTAAAATTGATCACCAATCATTTACTGAACTATTGCACCTTCAACCCTCGTGTACTGTTCGTGTCAATATCATCCGAAGGTATTAACATTTAAGATTCAGAGTAAACGTTGCACTTCCCATAAGAATAGAATTCCTTTTATATCTGGGACATTATCAACAATAAAGTAACTCTTCAGAGTTTCTTGTCGCCACAAAAATCATAAGGCAAGAGTCTATTCATTCATGAAAAAATATTATTGTATTATAAAATTTCGAAATTCCACGTTCAATCAGTTAAAAATGTAGAGAACAATTTTTGTGTCTGTCATTCGTTATTCGAACTTCTTTATCTAGACAATGGATTGTCCGTTTTTTCCCTTCAGAACATTACTTTCCCCATCGCATACCTGAGCCAATATACCTTCTATCGGTGTACCCCCTATCAAGTTGCTTGAAAATTCACCCGAAGGAAGTGTCCATCGTGGGTCCAGATTGTCTCCTCGACGAGGCACAAGGTTTTGTATCGACGTCGCCGGGGCCCGTATAACGATTAATCACCAGAAAAGGGATCCACGGAGCGGACGATCGGGCATCGGTCGATCCCCCCGTGGCTGATGGCACGCGTGCCGTCTAGGTTCGCACGTTCGACTGTCGTATAATAATGAGCCCCGTGGCCGGAGAAATGAATTCCGTTTCGTCCGTTTACAAAACGGCTAGGTGTGCCGGATAAACGATATGCGGGAAGCACGGTCGGACAGGGCCGCTATTTATTAAAAAGTCAAGTCGGTGGACGTGCTACATCGGGAGGAAAGCGATAACAGAGGCGCTCGAAGGGTCCGGTCATTAAGCTTCGCTGGACACCTCGGCTCCGAACCACCGAAAGCTCGGCCGAAGGGGTCAGTGAAAGCTCGGGAACGCGGCCTGCCTATCTTTGCGGCGAGAGCTTTCCACCGGTTCTGTCCGCGTGCACGAGTTTCCAGGTTCTTCCGTAAATTCACGGGGTTCGTTTAACGCTTTAATACTCAGTTTGCAATAACGATCGTTGTAGAAGAATTTTGTTCGCTTGTTGCACAAGGTATAACATTCATATAGTGCTGTGTAACAGAAGATTAAGGTAGAGATAACTATTATTTAAATAAAATAGTTTTTGGATTGATTTACTCGAGAAGTTAATGTTGCACAGGGTTTTCTTAGAACATTGGTTAAACACTTTGACTGCAACATCACCTAAACATAGGTGCCACATTGCAAACAGACTGGATTGTTTAGATACCGTTACAAACTTTTTCGTGAATAACTTAAAAGACGAAATAAAGCGTGTCTGGCTACGTACGGCTTTTTTCACTGTGGCAGTCAATGTGCTAATCTTGGGATAGTTCGGTGAACGAATTTTTTATCGACGATCTGGTTAGAACGTAAGGTATCGTAAAATATAATTAGAGGATAGCTAGTGTGGGAGATTCTAAATGGAAGAAACGAAAGAGATGCTGCAAGTCTGATGAATTGACATTTTCTTTCCGCACGATATTAACCCTTTAAGGTCTGAATTATGTTATAGTTATTTTTTTACCTCAATTTTCGTACTAGATACTTGCAAACTGTTTAAATATGGTTTCTTTACTTTTCTTATTTAAATAGCTAAATGTGGTATGAATCTCAAAGGACTTCAAAAAAGTAGTAAGACCTAATTTTACAAATCAGTTATTGAAAAATGAAAAAATTGTGATCAATCTTACTTCAAATTATTAAAGAAGCAGAAAATTTGAGAAAACCAGATAAAAACATTGGGATTCATTTGGAGTCCAATTCGACACTTCACATTAAATTTCTGAATTCCTAAGACAGTGTTCTGAACCATTGTGAGTCGGCGTGAACGGTCATCGCAAATTAACTCCGTGGTGGATATATTTATATGTAAGTTGTAGACGCGAATGAAGTACTATTAATGAATGTAAAATGCGTTGAACGTTCTGACCTTACTTTTTCACATGCGAGAACATGGATCGGCTGACCCGATAAAAAGAGAATGGAGAAAGTTCGCGTTTCGGATGGACGACTGGAGCAGGTGCGAGGCGAGACGGCGTCGCGCCTCCAGCGCGCTCATAGATCCATGTCAATGCGGATATTAAAGAGTCGGCTCATTTACAGCAATAATGAATACGCTATTAATAGCGCTGCGAGGGGTGAGAGCCGACTCTGTGCTCAGGGCCCAGCGATTTAACTGCGGGGAACAGTTTGCTGTGCGAAAAACGAACTTTTCGCGTAGCTTGGAAATTTTGCAAAACATGTGGAGTAAGACGAAATGGAATGCATCGTCTATTCGAATCATCAAAAGCATAAAACTATTCTTCAAATTCAAGATTTAGTTATTTGAAGTTCGTTCTTAAGAAAATGACCTTGAAATGGAATCTACTGTTGTAAGCATTTCATGTTTCGTTGTCTTTTTTTTTTAATGGAAATCGGTTATTCTTTTTTGTATAACGTGAAGAATCAGGAATGAAAAATCGTTTCTTCAATTTGAATATAAAATTGGAAACTAAGTCTAAAGACGGTCTCTAATATTATTTGTCGAGTAAACGGATCGTTACCAGAAGTATGATTAATTCTTTTCCCGTATGTATTCTCGACATTGTAAACAAACGCTTCCTTTCTGGGGCATAAAACCAGGTCTGGGTCTTCCACACTCTAATAAGTGGTCAACTCGGGGCAAAATGTCCAAGGAGCGTTTTTTTATCTCCAGTGACTGAAGTTGATTAATTGTCCGCTACCTACTGAATATTCCATTGACGTTCATTTCGCTTACAGGAAAACTGTAATTCACCCGTTGGATAGATAGAACCGCCGAGATAACGTGGCGTCCATCGCCAAGCAGTACTGTTTTCACTTTCTCTGTGTATTGTATGACGGAAAATCCTATAAAACAAGGGTCTAGTTCTTTCACTTTCGAGAATCATGATACTCGGTAGTATCGACCGTAAAATGAATCGATACTAGTCCGTTTACGACACGTCATGTGGTATTTATTTAACGGTTCCTGGAAAGCAAACGAAGCTGAAGCATTTAATAAAGAGAATTTACGCAATAATGCTACCTTAACCAGCAACCGTGTCTATCGGCAAGTGATTAAACGATTCAATCGCGGATAATGTGATCTCTAGTCGGCTAAATCCTCTGGTTTCGTAAAGTCGCCGCCGCCAATTCTCTCAACCACGCGATTGGAATGTTAGGAGACATAACGACTAAATCAGAGTACTATTTCTCCGCTGCCGACGCTGGAGAGGCAGAAGTAACAGGTTATTGGTATTTAAAGCCCGACCTCGAGGTTTCGCCTGATGCTCGTTGTTGCCCGAGCCATTCATTACCAGATAGTCACGGCTTTTGCAACGCGAAGGAGATAGGTGTAATAGGCGGAGTATCGTAATAACACCGTTGCAAAATTATTTATGGCTCGGGCGTGCTGAGCAAATAGGTAAAACAGCTGCCAAGTGACCAGGCTGCCCGTGATCCAGTAGCAACGGCTGATTCGCATTAGCCGCGCTCGACTCGTTGAAATAATTAACGAACCCGCGAAACGTTTCCACGCTGGGCAACCCGCTATTATATACGCCGTATGATCGTCCCCCTTTTATTTCTACCCTTGTCCGATACTCGTTTCATCCCGATACTCTTTATTAGCGTCTGTGAGTTAGAATGTCTCCATTATTCGCGTTATTACCGGGATAAAGTTCTTAGCTCGTCTGGGGCTCTGCTGTAGGAGGTACCAATTCGATGCTACTTGGCTAGATAAAAGTCATCTTCAAGGATTGACTGCCTCGATAATCGCACGGATTTTCAATCCCACTCTCATACCTCCATCGAGGTCCTACTGTACATCAGATCTCTTTGCGTTCGAGGACACCCCATATAATGTTCGCAACAATGCATACAAGCAATTGGCAAGAAAGAAAAAAAAATAAATCACTACACCTCTGGCTGAAAAAGTGTTCTCACTTCATCGGTATCCTCCTGTGTACACGCGGATCGAACTATTAGTATAAACCCAGCGCTGCCAGAACGTGTCATCGGGAAGGACAACGGGCTCGATGCTTTTCCTTTTTTTTTTTTTCTATTCTAAATCCTCGCCGATGATTAATGGCCGTCCACGTGTCCCCGTCGGCGGCGGCGTCGCATCGAGGCCCACGGCTGAAAGAATGCGTCGGAGCCAAGGGATTCGCAGCAACAAAGCACCCGTTAGCGTCGCGCGCGCGCAACCAAGCGCCGCCTTTTGAATATATCTGAATGCGCGTCGCGGATCCGTATTCGGCCCGCAACAACCGGACAAAGCCGTGGCGGATAATGATCCATTATCAGCCTTTTGATAAAGATAGCCGGGAACTGGCGCGATTCCGTGACTCGAATAAGCGGCCTGAAATTTCGGTCCTCTTTCTAGCAGCCTCCTCTGGGCCCTGGAGGGATGATTAATCGATCCCTCTCGTTCTTGTCAACGTCGATGCACCGGAAGAATGCGGGGCCAGGAACAAGAGTTGCTGGGTTTCGTTGTTTCTGACTTTGCAATCGATATTCAATTTGCTTGGTCCCTCGGAATGCGGTGAATGAATATTATGATCTCCTAGTTATTTTTAAGCTCCTATGAACGGCGGGGAATATGGGTGTCGGGGAGCCACTAGAATAGATTTACAGTTTTTCTGTGGCTGGTTCGGATATGGGGGAATTAAAAGTACCGAGGAATCATATGTACGAACGAATTCAGCAATTACCAATGTTGGTCAAGAAGAAAATACAATCTACAATTAAAGAAAATTTGACATGAAAAATTAAAGAAATCATAACAACGTTGTATTAATCTTTAAAAAGATTTTCGTCTATCTCTATTCTTTGTTTTAAATGAAATTCGTCCCGACTTTTTTTCTTTGGAAATACTCGTAATAATGTAGCCCCGCGTTTCTTTTGGGAG